CACAGGGGCTCGGAGCAACCTGCTCTAGTGGAAGGTGTCCCTGCCCGGGGCAGGGGTTGGAGCTGGAGGAGCTTTAAGGTCCCTTCCAACCCAAACCATTCCGTGTTTCTGTCATCCCAGATGCATTCCTCACCTTCCTTCTCCTCCTCTTGCTCCTGTAGGTGCAGAAGCAGGGGAGGGGCTGTGGGGGTTGCAGAGGGACTTGGACAGTTGTTTGACTCCAGACGATCACTTCTCTGCTTCCCAGGATGGTACATGGCTCTTCTCCCTTCTTCCAAGTGTCCTGTCCCTGGTAGTCCCACGTTTCTCCACACACCTCAGCTCCTGGTGGCCTTGAAACATCAGGTTTGCCCTGGGTTTGCTCTGTTTCTTGTTAAACTGAGTTGGTTTTTTCTATTTCCTTTTATTTTTCCCCCTGCCCCTGTTCCAGATGGGATTTAGCCAAGCCCAGCACTGGGTGCTCCCAGGAGGAATGCAGAGCACTGCCACCCGTGCACAGTGGTGTTTGCAGCAAGTGAGAGACTCAAAGTGGAACTCGGAGCTGCCTCTACCTGATGCAAACTGGCCCCTTTGCACTTACAGATGCTTAAACAAGCACTTTTGATGGGCTGGTCTCTGGCAAATGGCTTGTATCTGTCAGGAGGAAAAGTTTGAGTTGTCTTAGAAAAGCCTCTTAGGCAGCATCTCCTCATGGTGCTTTGAATCCATGTGCAGAACCTGGTGTTGTGATGTCCTTGTGCAGGGTTAGAAGAGCTCAGGTTAGTGTAAGTTTGCTCATGTAATCAGTGCCACATGGGTTGCAATGGTGGCCCTAGCCCTGTGGGACCTCTCAGCCTGAGCATCCTGTATCCCAAAGAAATCAGGCTGGAATTGTGTGCAGTGATTCTCAAGGTGTAAATGATGCTGAGCTGCATGAGGGCTGTAAACCAGGCTGTCACCTCCCCTCCGAGAATCCTAGAATGGTTTGGTTTGAAGGGACCTTAAAGCTCCTCCAGCTCCAACCCCTGCCCTGGGCAGGGACACCTTCCACCAGAGCAGGTTGCTCCAAGCCCCTGTGTCCAACCTGGCCTTGAACACTGCCAGGGATGGGGCAGCCACAGCTTCTCTGGGCACCCTGTGCCAGCGCCTCAGCACCCTCCCAGGGAAGAGCTTCTGCCTCAGAGCTCATCTCAATCTCCCCTCTGGCAGGTTAAAGCCATTCCCCTTGTCCTGTCCCTACAGGCCCTTGTAAAAGTCTCTCTCCAGATTCCTTACTGGGGGATGCTGCTGTGCAACTGGGCAGGAAGAAACGAAGTCAAACCCCACAAAGGTGCTGTGAGATGTGAGCTGGAGACAGGCAAGAAGAGGAGCTTCGGTGACCTCCTCCAATCCCACTTGTGAAAGCCAAGCAGGGAGGAGTCACGTCAAGCTTGACGTGAGCTGCCAAGTTCCAAAACAGTGAGCTAATACCTAAAACACTAACAGTAAATGGTGCCTCTTTGCACGATGCTCTTCACTCAAGTGGAAATGTGGACTGTGCAAGACGCAGCACTGGGAGGTGTGAAGAACAGGCTGGTTTTTCCAGGGGCTCAGCCCACAGTTGCCGTTCGGGCTGATGGGGTTCAGTGTTTTGGGAGAGAAAAAGCTTTCCTAAACAAGAGATAAACCAGGGCTGCTGCACCCTTCCATTTTGGCATTGGGACTGAAGCTGGCAGCAGAGAACAGGTCTCCCATGGGTGTCTCCTGTGTGTCCCAGCTCTGGGAATTGAAGGGGTGGACATGGAGTCACCCCCTTCCACCCACCGCTTCTCCTTCCCACCCTCTTTGGAGGGGCTGTGCCCTCGCTGCATCACACCAGACTCTTTCTTTCTGTCACTGCTTTCACAGTGTCTGTCTGGGTGGATAAAAACAGAGTTGTGTTTTCTGTAAAGCTGTTGGTGCTAAAAGGAATTAGCTGGGTCCGTGTGGGTGTTGGGTGAGAACAGACACTCGTACAGGGCGATGGTTTGTTGCTTCAGGTTTGAAAGCAAAGTCTTTAGAGCCGTACAATGAACGAGGTTGGGAAAGAGAACAGATTTGTTCACAAATTTTGCTCACAAAAAGACAGATTTGCTCACAAAGTGCTGTCAATAACCAGGCTGAAGAACAGAGGAGAGCTGGGGGGAGTGCTCCGTGCTGCTTGCTCGCTGATAGCAGGTAAGTATGAGGAAAAGCAGCGTGGAGGTATCCAGTTTTGTTTGGGGGAGATGACACTGATGCTACACACTGTACTTGGGGAAAACCACTCAGAGGGCAGCCGGGCTCTATCATCTTTGGTATAAAGGTATAAATCTTCTGGCATGTGAGGGATGGTGGCCCATATTTGCAAGCCCTGCCTGCTGCAGTGGGACCAGAGGATGGAAACCTGGAGACAGAGGGCAGGGACAGCACAGGGGTGCTTAGGGCATGGGACCAGTGAAGCAGGGTTGGATTTATGAGTGCCCAATGCACCCCTACACAAGTGTGTGTCCCCCCTGAAGCTGGGCTTTGGAGGCTGTGTTTTGTAGATGTAGACACAGAAGATGCCTGGGTACAAGCAAAATGACAAAAGCAGCGTGCAGCTTCCTTCCTGAGGTTTGCTACCAACCAAGGCTTCAGCTGAGCTTCATTTAAGGTCTTCTTGGAGCGTTCAGGACTGTTGTTCTCTTACATATTTGGGTTGTGACTTCGACGCCTCTTTCCTTGTTAAGCCCAGTGCTGGGTGACTGCCCTTGCTCTTGTGATGCTGGTGCCGGGCTGCCTTCATTTTAACCACTTCCTGGGAGCTGCCAGGGCTTGGATTCAGGCTTAGGGAGCCTGTGGGCAGGTTCTTCATCTCCGCACCTCGTGTTAGAGCACACCGGGACAGCTGATGAGGAAGGCTGCCTGTAGCTTCCAGGGCTCCCCAGCTCGCAGGTATCCAACTGCATCCTGTAGACACCGCAGGGATGTGGTTTGTGCCAACGGTTCTGTCTCATTTCGGAGCTGAAGCTGTGGAATTCAACCGGAATTTAGATGTAATGTAACCTTTTAGCATCCTCATCCTCCACGTAATCCATGTACACATGTGCTTTGACGTAGCCGCCCAGCACTTCACACAGCATCAGGGAACTGTACGTGGGACCTGCTGACTCTGAAGGAAGATGTGAAAGATTCACCACAGCATCTTTAATTTTTAGCACTTAGTAGG